ATTTCAGTATATTATAATAATTTTTAAAATACTACGACACCTAACATAATGACCAGTAAAAAATAAAATACAGAATAAATTAATTAGTATTTCAGTTTGCAATAATTATATTTGTATTTAAACAATATCCTTTAACATCTTAAGAAACATTTTTTTTGTGTTGCTATAGCAATATTTTCACGAAGAGAAGAAGACTACTGTATTTAATGAAACCTTAAATAATTGTCTTATTAAGATAGAAGTAATTCGTTTGAAAATCAAAGTAGAAAATATTTGTTTCAATACGTGAAACACATCAAAAGTATTCAAATAAATTTTTGTATTTAAATAAGCGCTCAATAAAAGTAATTATTAGCTAGGTATACACATTTGTATGTAAACGTATTTTCTACTATTTTACACAAGTATAATACCTATCTATTATAAATCTAATTTTGTATTACACTTTCACTTACCAACCAAATGGTGATAATTATGTTTACTCGTTGATTATCCTTTTTTCTTTACACAAAACATTTCCTAAAAATAGTTTGGAAACTAAACAATAAAACGATTAAGTTATATTACGCAAAATGTATTCCTGTTTTACATTTTTCCGAAAAAAGAGTACTGTTAGTTTAACTGTAACATATTTACAAAAATAAATTGTTCAGGTAAATGTAAAGTTTAAATGCTATCTATATTTTACAAGAATTGACGCTCAAGCATTGAGGTATGACTACATACGAATGTATATTTTTTTTTGGTAATTTTGAAAAAGTTTGTAGGAGCTTTTAATTATTGTGGGTACCTTTTGCGCCATTTATCATTTAAAGGAAGGGCATTTCTTTACCGATTAGGTACTCACTGTTTTAAAATACGTATTCCTTTTTTATAACATTTACTGATTCACTATTATTTTTTCTTGTTTCTTTTTTAATTTATGTTCAATATTACGTANGTATCAGCGTCAGGTACTTAATTGTAGTTTTTTTATGTTATATTTAAAATTTAACATCAAATTTGCTTCCAGGGGGTCGTGGAAGTGCCTGCGGCGGTGGCCCTATTAAATTAGTAACCACCTCTGCAAATCAAACATTTGCTGCCAAACTAACAGAAACAACGTCTGTGCACCACGTCCCCGTTACTGCGTCTGCTACCAACTCTATGAGCCTAGGTGGCGGTCCCAAACCATCGAAAACTGCCACCCAAAATTCCCTTAATGTTCCTCTGCAAGGTTCCACCGGTCCATCGTCGCCTTTACAACAGCAACACCAGCAGCAGCAGCAACAGTCTGTTCTCACTTGTTCACCGAAGCACCACCGACCACCACCTACGGCTTCTGCGCCTCCGAGTCTCCAGCAGTTCCAAAGCGTGGCTAAAATGCTCCCATTCTCGGCCAATAGTGGGACGTGTTCTTTAAAAACCAGTGCCCTGAAGACGGCTGAAGATACGTGTCGAACGACAACGTTAACAACGCAAGAGTACTCGCTGTTTAACTCGATGGCTCAACAGCCAACGTGGCGTCAAGAGAGCGAATCTCACAAACAGCCAGTAAACTTCGCGGCCGTAACCGGCGGTGGTATCTCGCAATCAACCACCCCACCTAAATTCATCGATAATGATCCACCTCCACAAGTGGACGCGTCTAAAGCACCTGGTTATCGCGGTGGACAAACCAGTAGCGGAAATTCGAATAGCAACGCTATGTGTTCGCCGGTTTCATCGAAAACGAGCAGTAACAGCACTACACCTCCAAGTTTACCGGCGGCGTCGTCTTCTGCGTCGGTCGTCAATTACCAAGGTTTCGAATCGCCAAAAAATCAACCGCAATTAGCTCCAATCGGTACGAATATGATTCACGGACGCGTACCTTCAGCAACAAACAACGGCCAGCAGCAACAGCCTCAACAGCCGGAGCAACATTTCTACTCAAACGGGGGTGGTTCTGCCGACCCTCATCTACCACCGGCGCCTACATCGCGTTCGATGCATCATCTTGCGCATTCCGATACCACACTGTATAAATCAGTATCCGCGAATTTTGCAGATAGTCTTTTGACTATGAACTCGGCCACGGAAGCTGCTGTTGCCGCCGCAGCAGCCCAACAACAACAGCAGCAACATTTACTTTCCTCATACCATCATCAGCAACAGCAACAACATATGAGTTACTCTCAACAACAAGTGGCACCGATATCCACGCCGTCGGTTACCATGTCTCGACTAAATCCCAAAGCTCCTGACTTTGCTAGTTCAATGCAGCAGCAGCAGCAGCAACACGCAAAACAACAGCAACAGCAACAACAACATCCAGCGCACATGTTCAACGGTTATCAGCAACAAATGACCAAGAACGCTGCAGCTGCCGCCATTGGAACCTATCATCGCCAACAGCAACAACCGCAACCTGGAGCCTCTTCGCCTTCTCCACATAATAGGTGGCTTCTTATGCAACAGCCCTTCACTCAACAACAGCAGAATGAATTGATGAGTGGTATGGCGGGCATGACGTTACATAGCATTGCCCGAGCGACTGGCGGAGACATACTGGAAAATGGGGCCGATCTAACAACTGTGAACGGATCGCCTGCGATGTCTCCTAACCTGCCCTCTTCCCATAACATTCATCTAAGTGATGGCACAGGACATTACGTTGATGATAACAGGAAACCACCTCAGCCCATAGGCACTGAGAGAGCACGCAAGTCGCAAAATCCTCTAGTAGATAGTAGTGGAAGTAGTAGTTGGATGTTTGGGAACGAATCCAAGATGGTAGTTGGCAGACCCTGGAGTGGCATAGGCAATTATGATCGCTATCCTGTAATAAGGAATCAAATGGAAGCCGATTATATGACGCACCCAATGGATTCCTACCAGGTAAAGTTAAAGTAAATATATAGTTACAACAAAAACATCACTATATTATATTTATTTGTATAGCAAGGGCTGCCTGTTGAAAATCCTCACGCCTTCTCCAGCAGCGCTCCTTTCCTCCAAGCGTTCCTTCTGCAGCATCAGGCCAACATGCATCCGTTGGATTATGGGCAACCAGACGCTTTAAAAATGGAACAGCCACCATGGGATCCGCGCCCCAATATCGCCGACTTGCAGGACAAAAATCACGTAAGTTTACAAGCCTCTTTCGACTTATTGTCCCTATTGCTTTGAAGGAAAAAATGAAGCTTTTTATGATTTACGATACAGTTTTGTATTGCTCCGCTATACAATTAGATTTTTGCAACAAGTGTATATGTAATTTTTTTGTTTTTTGAGTAAATTAATACAAACAACTGTCTTACTCGTTGTCTATTAAAACTGAGATACAAACTTTATTTTAGTTAGAGGTAATAAGTGAATATTAAACTTGATTTTTGTATAATACAAAATTCCAGTTTTAATGGGTGCGCCTGTATTGAATGAACTTTATCATTTTGTCTGGTATTTCTTAAGGGTTCTGAATTATGATTTTCTGTATACAGAATTAACTAAAATCGAAATTTTAGGGATGGACTGGATTGGGTGGGAAATGGAACCAGTAACCGCAACCGTACGCTGATTTATTTAAAATAATTATTATGTAAAAGTATAAAAATATATCAACCAACTTTGTAAGCAGGAGAAGCCTTATCCTTTGTAGGGGTTTTTCTCGATTGGTGGATACGTACGTATGACAAAAAAAAAGAACATCTAATAGAGTAGATAACAACTGCGTAATCGAAAAAAAAAATAATAATGCGGTCCTGCGGTCCATTTAATAACAGCAACAACTTACAACCCGCAGAAACGATAGAAATAGATGATATAAAAAAAGTAAATAAAGAACCTATTCGTAGTACATTTTTGCATGAATAATTCGTTTGATAACTGCTTATAGTTTATCACTGTTACTATCCTAACGATTACTATTATTTGTAGCGGATTTTCGGAAGCGTTGTCGACTCTTTAGCTTTAACGTGAAGCCGGTTCAGACCGATTTTAGACACATAATTGATGAAATAAAAAAGTATAATAATTATATAAAAAACACATAAACATTATAATAATAATGAATATTAATAATTTACTATTATATTGTAGTAGATGAGCAGTGGATTCTTTTTGTTTTTATTCTTTTTCGAGGGATTGGCGATAGGGGGCAGACCGTCGATGTAAGGCAGACATACATAAAAAACACATACACAAAAATACACACGCGCGCGCGATTTATTAATTTGTTCTCTATTTTTTATTTCCTATCATACTACTATGTAAGTGCAGTGTTCGTATCTCGCAGTATAATTGCTGTTCCAATTACGATGATGCAAGGGTGTCACTGGATCCCTTAATTTGTAGGTTTATTATTATACAAATAATGTAATATTGCTTGTACATGAAGACTTAAATATATATCTTTATGCACTGTGTCGACTACTTTTTTTTCATTCTATACCCTGAATTAGTAATAACCAAAGAATAAGAAAAGAAGACGTAAATATGACTAATAAATTTTAAGCATCTTTTTATAAAAAAGAAAACTTTATTTAAACCAAAGAACTTAGTTGATATTAACATTGCTGATTAAATAAATGGCTTCATTATCACACCCACATAAAACTCGGTCTCGACTCAAATCTAAACTGTTTATAGGAAAATGTAGTTTAGGCATTAAATTAAATACTTCAAGTTTGTTTTTAACGTTATCGCTGATATACCAGGGATTATGATCGGTCTCTTGAAGATTTAATAGTTTTGTATGGGTATTAGTAGCAGGGGAAGAACTTAGCCAGTGCCATATTTCTCCTGCAGTTGAACAACTGAACAAATGATCTGGATGATCAGGATGAAACATTATCTCTGAAATGCTTTCAGTGTGAACAGTCAACAGATTCACAGGAAAGGTATTTTTGCGTAGATCCCACACAGTAATTGACCCTAAACTCATAAACAGATTAGTAACAATACAACTAATAGCAATTAAACTATTACCTTCTTCATCACCTGTAACAAGTATGTGCTGCTGGGATGGATGAACAGCTACACAAGTCACTGCTATTTGATCTTGTCCTAATATAAAAGAATTACATAGTGAACTCTGATTTTGGCGAAAATCCCAAATCTTCAATAGTCCACGGTTGTTGCCTGTTAGAACTTCATTAAATTTCAAAAAAGTTACACAGTTTATACAACAACTGTCTGCATTATCTAAAAGTACATTACATTTATTAAGTTTTTCAAAATGCCTACGTTTGTGTCTTACTATTGGAATAGACAATATTTTGATGTTGACTTGTTAGCAAATTTATTCTTCCATCTTCTCCACAAGTTACTATGTCATTTTTATAACATGACAATGAAGTACACGGAGCAACTTCGTTTTCTGAAAAGTTGTGAATCTTATTCCAATTAATGCATGCTTCAATGTCAATTAATTCCTTTTCGTTTGATGTAATTCTCATTAAATAAACTGATCCATAAGATGATGAGACAACGAAAGAATCCAAATCTACAAACTGTATAACAGTTAAGAAAAGTTACTAGTTTCTTTAAAAATTTTACCTGTAATTCAGTTACATCTCCCTGAAATGCACAAGACTTCAGAATAAAAGGATAAGTGTCTGTATCGTCCTTATTCTCTTGGAACTCCCATAATTTGAGGTTATTGTTCTCGTCATCCCAACTCCCGGTAATAAAAACATTGGAATCATTAAAAGGATCAGTCTTCCACCTAATTTTAGACGTTTTATCGGATATAAACGTTGTATTAACACTATGCGACATAATTTATTTATAAAAACAGTTTTGAATTTGACAACTATAAAGCTAGGTTATGTAAGTCGGTTAGCCAATGGCAATTGGCCATCTACTGGCCACTGGTACAAAAAATAGAGAGAAAAGTAAAATACTGCTTTTTAAAATGATATCGAATAATAAAATTTGGATACCCGATCATAGAGGTCGGTACTTCCGCGCGGATATCTAAGTTTTAAAAAACTTTTTTAAAATCTTTCTCTTTTAATTCAATTTAATAAATACTATAAAGAATGTATCCAGTATTATAACATACACTATATATTTATTTTAATGTATATATGTCAAATTTGTTAAATATTGAAACACAAAACAATGTCTATTAATAAAATGTGTAGATTATTATCCTATAATAGTTTATGGCTTTTACTAGATAAATAAAGGATAATTTTATTATTACGATATAATTCGTCTGCAATTTGAGTCGCTTTAAAAACCTGCCTTTTTTTCTTTCCGTATTATTCTGAGGGAAAAAAGAATGTTCATTAATCAGATATTTATTCTTCGTTGTGTGATTTATGTTTGCATTCTTGGAATGTTTGCTTTTACGGAAAATACATACAATTTGACTAGTTTGGTGGCAAAAGGCATGAATTTTTTATAAACTAACGGAAAATACGAAATCGATTCATTCAAGCCATGACATATGGTGAGAAAAGTAATTACTCAAAACCGCACCATGAAAAACTGAAAATAATGTTAATAAATTGACGAGGCTCATGAGTTACTTTAGTAGAAGTTGTTTTAGAAATGGTCATTCTATTCCTTTAATTTGTGATCAGAAAAGCTAACTTTGTTTTCACATTTATTTTATTAACAATATCAAAAGTGCGTAAGAAAAGTGTAGCTACTAAGTATAACTAAGTATATCGCAAAAAAATAGATAATTATTAATTATAGGAAAAATTATCTTTTTTTAGACAATGAACAGAAATATAATTTACGTAATTCCTGGTAACAGAGAAAAAGTAAAGGTCGAAGAAAAGTCTATTTACAAATCTACCAAATTTATGTTAATTTTGGCACAATGTTTTGCCCTTTTCCCTGTGGAAGGGGTGCTAAGTTCGGACGTAGAAGACATGAAATTTCGTTGGAAATCATGGAAAACTTTCTACAGTATTTTATTTGCAATTGGTGTCCTAATAATAACAATTTTACAATTAATAGTGTTGTTTCATGAAGGATTTTATTTTCTTGAAATGGGTACATTATTCCAAATAATAAAATAATTTGTAATTCAATGATAAAATTTTCCCCTTGTAAAACCTGTTTTACTTCAGGACCAGTTGTTTTTAATCTCAGTATACTTTGTACAATAATATTGTTCATAAAATTGTCCATGAAATGGCCAAATTTAATTAAAAGATGGAATTGCGTAGATGCGTCCTTTAAATCGTATGGGTGGCCACCAAATTTGGATATTCGTTTAAAAACCATGACAGCTGTAGTTCTCTTAGTGGCTTTAGGTAATAAAATCATAATGGACCTTTTTGCTTAAAACTTTAAAATAATAATATAAAAAATATAAAACAAACCGCAAAAAAATGCCTGTTTTTAGTTGAATTTACTCTAACAACAGTAAATAGGTGGGTAGTTGCCTATTACAAATGTGAAGGTAAAAAGTCTACATTAGGATTTTTTGAAAAATTTGTTGAAAGTACTTCTTATGGTGATATTTTCAAAATTATGCCGTATTCTACATTTTTTGGGATATTTTCACAGGTAAAGTCTACTCATTATTTATCTTTTTGATTAACTTTAACAGAAAATTTGTTTTGCTTTTCAAAGATGGTGGGGACTTATTGTAAAATTAAAATTATTGCAGATTGTGCGAGTTTTGTCAAATTTTGCTTGGTCATACACCGATCTGTTTATTGGTATCGTCAGTACGCCCATTGCCTTACGATTTAGACAGTTGTGTGTTCATATAGAGGACTCTATTAAAAGAAAAGTAATTTTGTTATTTTTCTGTTATTTAATTAGTAATCGTAATTATTTAGGTGAACAATATCGATTTCTGGAAGAATATAAGGGAAGATTACAACAAACTTTGCATTTTAACAGGGATAATTGACGATAACATATCCAGTATAACATTACTATCTTTTGTAGCGAATTTGTACTTCATTCTCACCCAACTATTTAATACATTAAGGTAATTTTTATGCTGTTGTTTAATAAAAAATATTATCGTCATCATCATCATTGAAATGCGTCTCCAAGCCGTCCAAGAAGTGAAGCCTTCTTATCCTGTACCTCACACTAATATATGTCTACCTCTACCCCTCTATGCTCCTGTTTCTGCTTCTACCGTAGGTCCGTCCCTGTACACAATTAACAAACAATTAACACAAACATTTTTGCTGTAACTATTTTCGTTTAGATACAGAGAAGAAGTTTTATTAAAGGCTTATTATTATGCCTCATTTTTTCTGTTAATATTGAGAACTGTCTTTGTGGCATTGTACGGGGCTTGGATAAATGACGAAAGTAAAAATCTTTGCTACACACTACATAAGGCTCCAGCTTCCGTCTACAACTCTGAGGTATTTCTACAACTTAATGTTATTATTTTCTTACAATATTTTTTTTGTAGATATCAAGATTTATAGATCAAATTCATTTTACAGAAGTAGCATTAACTGGAATGAAATTTTTTTACGTAACCAGGGGGGTTGTCTTAAGTGTAAGTCATTTTTCTTGTGTAAAAATTATTATTTACGTATTTAATAAATTTAGTTCTTAATTGTTTTAGA